AGCTTTCATTGTTCTCTTGGAATTTGGGAAAAAGTAGATGAGAAGTTAATGATGGTGAATCAGATGGCAAGAAGTTACAGCACATTTGTTTTATGATTATAGATGCCCATATGTTTTGCATCTGTGTCCTCATAAAAACAATGAACCAAGTTAAAATTTCTTAGCAACATATATTGGAGGGCTATCTATCACTCTGAATCGTTCATTTCTGTGTTTTTGACCGGGAAATATTCTGCGCATGATGATTTCTTTCCCTTGATAAATACATTGTGAAACAATATACTTCACTACCAACAGACATCAACCAAGAGCAAATCTAAGGCAAATATATGGTGGTAGTTAATCCTGTAATTCCAAATTCAAGTGGGATAACACTGAAAATGGAAGGCTAACTAACCTTGAAAACACGCCTTTGTGTCGGGCACCAGCATGAACCAACTTGTAACGCTCCGTTACCTGAAGGCTGCCCCAATGAGATATTTCGACTTCACGCACAAGCTCCTCAACAACAGCAAATGGATTATTATTCTCAAAATGGACAATTATGGGAGAAAAAGAATAGGAATGACGGTCTTCATACGGTCCATACTTCAGTTCTGTACCCACACGATCAGAGGGTTCCACTCTTGTGAAGGATTCCACCTTGGGACTAGATGTCTTAATAAATGTTGTCTGATGTTTAATATGATATGGTGACAATATTATTGCACTGTCATGGTAATACACCAATTGAGACTCTGATTGGCTAATCTCAATTGGAAAAGGTTCTAACGAGTGTGACAATATATATAGCACTTCCAAAGTGACAGATTCACCAGTCTTCAATGGACTGACCAAAGATATGGAGAAGCATTTAGCTCCATTGGGCGCATCAGGNAAAGTGACAGATTCACCAGTCTTCAATGGACTGACCAAAGATATGGAGAAGCATTTAGCTCCATTGGGCGCATCAGGCAGGTCAGTTGGGTTCACATCAAGAGGCAAATAAGATTTCTTTTTCTTCTTTCCAAAGGTAGCAGCAGCTTTGACAATTGCTAAATGATCAACTTGTGCAGGTGGGAAGGCAAGAAAGATTTCTGAAGCAGGAGCTGCCCCAGTATTTTCAACCTGAAACAGCCCGTTAATCAAATGCATGTCCAACAATGTAGGCAATTTCCAAATGGTAATATGAAATGCATACATTTAATTTCTGGCATTATCCAATTAACCTTAAGAAAATGGTTTCAAAATCCGATAACCAGTCACACCTGCTTGGAGATATTTGGATCTAGACTTGGCATACTCATTGAACCGGGTCACAAGTAGAACCCCAATATTTGGTCATGAATTCTAAATGTGAGAGGAAATCAGAAAACAAGCACAAGAAGAAAATAACAGCCCATCAATTTGAAAATAAAACCACAATGACAACATCAAAATAAACTCGAACCCCAAGTTATTGGCTCAATGAACAAAATTCAAAAATCCCCCATGATCAATAAAACAACGGTGTGTCTTGTTTACTGTAATTTTGTCCAAAAACAAGGGGAAAATTTTCCTATTGCAAACAATGTGTTCTTGGAATAATACCTTCAATGTCAAGTACACTCTGATAATGTGAGAAGTCAAGTCAATCTGCATCGAATATCAACATCTTAGTCACCACATTTAGAACAAAAAGTATCTAATCTATCTCCAAAAAAAAANCCATCGTACGATGGAAGTCTATAAAGATGAGGAAAAAGACTAGAGAATGAAGACTCTTCAACCCAAATATCCTCCCGAAAATGTACCCTCATTCTATCCCCCATAGTAAACTTAATCCTCCGAGAAAAATAAGATAGACACTACAAAATAAACTTCAATTGACTCCGAAAGCTTCTCCTTTTAACTTCATTAGCATCCCAGCCATTAGCTTGTAACCTATACTTACTCCTAATAACTGAATGTCACAATAAATCTTCCTCCGATGGGAATCTCCAAAACAATTTTCCAACAAAAACTTCATTCCTTTCCAACAAATTTCCAACCAAAAGACCACCTTCATCTTTAGGCCTAGTCACACCCTCCCAACAAATCAATTGATCCTTCCTTCCCTCCCCCACTCATTCCCATAAGAAATCTTTCATCAACACTTCAATCTTTCTAGCAAACATACAAGGCATTTTAAAAAGAGACATAAAATCAATTGGTATACTAGTCAAGACAGACCGAACCAAGTTAACCTACCTGCCGTTGATTACTATTCAGTATCAACTAATGTCAGAAAGAATTTATCACGATTAAAACAAGAAGACAACTCACACACACACATTGGTTTTTAGGCTTATAAGTGGAGGTCAATTCTTCCTCAGGTTTCATACGATGAAATCTCTAGAATTTCTTTCCATCCTACATTTTCTCAGAGGCCAATGAAGTGAATTATTACGAATGGACAAATTCAAAATTTTGCTGCCATTTTCTCTCTTTTCTTTCACTTTCTCCACAACTAAACGCAGCATGCAGTGTGATTATACAAAGGAACGAGCAAAATATCAACACAATCACTAGGCAATTAAGATCAAACATCCATTAATTTAAGCCGTATATTTCACATTGCAGGCAGATTGAGGTATATAAGAAAGCTCACTCTGCGTTCGGCGTTAAGGATCTGAAGCTCAGGAGAAGAAAGAGTGGCCGATCTGACGAGTAGTGAGAGATAAGCTATTGCGATGAATGAGAAAACAAGGGCTGATGGAAGAGAGCTCTGCGGAGCTTCCATGGCATCGTCGTCTCGCCTCTCACCAGTTTGACGAACTCTCGAGTCTCGACGACTCTGCTCTAGTGTAGACCTCGGAGTTTTCAGTGAGAAGGAATACGGGCTGAATATGGGCCATCTGGGACATTTGTAGCCTAGTGGCAGTATATTTTTGGGCCCTAACTGTTGTAGACTCGTGTTTCGCTGCTGTCTTTCCTGACTGGGCTTGATTTCTTTTTCTCTTTTGGGCTGCACAAACCTTCACCTTCGAATAATGTTATTTACTCCGAATTTACTCGATACATATTTTGATAAAAACCCTTGATTGATGTCTAGTTCAGATATGATAGACTGGATTAGATAAGTGACTTTAATTGAAATCAATTATCCCGGAATGGGATAGAATACAAAAAACGCGAAGCGCCAGCTGTTGGGTCTTCTCATTTCTCTTATGTTTCGTTTGTAGGGAGGATGAAAAGTAGGACAGATACATTTTATATCCTTCAATGATGAAAAATAGGAATGATACATTTTCATTCCTTTGTGTTTAGTTGAATGGAAGGAAAATAAAAATAACTATTTTTTTTTAATTTTTTTTGTGCTGGCTAAGATTAATGGTGACAATCGAATCGTGTCGTATCAGATTCATATTGAGTCAAAAAATTATAAACCTTTTATATTTCTTGTTCTCGTGTCAGGTCATTTTCAAGTTCGTGTCATAAAATTCGTGTCGAGTTCGAGTCCTGTCGTGCCATCGTGTTGTGTTGAAAATTTTAACTCCTAGTCAAGATGAAAAAAAGAAAAATAATAATTTAAAATTTAAAATTTAAAATTTAAAATTTAAAATTTAAAATTTAAAATTTAAAATTTAAAATTTAAAATTTAAAATTTAAAATTTAAAATTTAAAATTTAAAATTTAAAATTTAAAATTTAAAATTTAAAATTTAAAATTTAAAATTTAAAATTTAAAATTTAAAATTTAAAATTTAAAATTTAAAATTTAAAATTTAAAATTTAAAATTTAAAATTTAAAATTTAAAATTTAAAATTTAAAATTTAAAATTTAAAATTTAAAATTTAAAATTTAAAATTTAAAATTTAAAATTTAAAATTTAAAATTTAAAATTTAAAATTTAAAATTTAAAATTTAAAATTTAAAATTTAAAATTTAAAATTTAAAATTTAAAATTTAAAATTTAAAATTTAAAATTTAAAATTTAAAATTTAAAATTTAAAATTTAAAATTTAAAATTTAAAATTTAAAATTTAAAATTTAAAATTTAAAATTTAAAATTTAAAATTTAAAATTTAAAATTTAAAATTTAAAATTTAAAATTTAAAATTTAAAATTTAAAATTTAAAATTTTATTTTTTATTTTTTATTTTTAATTTTATATATATATAAATTTTATCATTGTATTTTTATATGAAATTAATGTATACATAATATATAGACAAATAAGATACATCTTAATACAAATAATTAACTTTCCATCCACTTTCCTTCCGATTTTGAAGGGATTAATTTTGGTGAGTTGGAAGAAAAGTTAATTCATCCATTTTTTTATCCTTTTTATTTTTCTTCATTATCAAACGTGATGTTTTATTTATCTCTCCAACTTTTCATCCTTCCATTTTTCCATCATACCAAACAGAACATTAAAACTACCTCTCGTCAACCGAGTTCAATCAAATCCAAACCAAGTCAATAGTTCATTTTTCATACCGATACAAACCAGAATTTATTCCAAGTCTAGTATTAAATATCAATTATATTCATTTATTCAAATCTCACCCCGAACCAAATGTGCTATTGTTGTCATTTGATTGATAATGAATTCCATTCAACGCCAAGCCCAACAAACAGTAATGGATTTGATAAATAAATTTAGTCCGAACAGTATTATTGTTAATTAGCCATTATATATTGTTAGAAACAGTATGCACTTGATTTAGGCTTAAAAATTCTTACCATAACCGACCAATTAAACATAAAACAGACACAAAAATAAAAAAATAAATGAATAAATCTGTCACACCCATTTGTTAATTAAGTCTACCCCACCACCACCGCTTAAAATAAAAGTAAAGTTTAAGATCTGCAATTTGAAATACAATTACTCCTCAAATGGGATTGGTTACATTTCTCTTTTTTCTTAAGTTCTAATTTTAAGATTTGATTATACGAAACAGTGGCAACCCGGTCACAAAAAAAATCTTTTATGCGAAATAAACAGTACGTAACAAATCGACCCAAAAGTCAATAAGGAATAAGTTTCTCCCATACTTCACTTCACTTAAAAAGGGAATTCTTGTGTGTAGCAAAGTCTTTCGTAGTATTGGAGAATGAATGTAATTAAACACAACTTATATTCGATAAATATGAATTAGACTATTAGAGGACAATCCCATTGACAACTTGGGTGTGCAATGAATACCACAATCACAATGCATTATTTAGTGTGCAAAATTAACATAAAGTTTACAAAAATCAAAGGAAAAAGAAGTGAGAGTGGAGAGAAAGAGAAAGATTATGCAATGTTTCCATCACACGTGACCTTGTTGATGTCCAACATTGTTCACCTAACCCACCCTGATTAAGGAAGTTGTTGAGACTCCAGACCATGAATCCTAGAAAAGCACCCATTCAATATTCCCAATTCAAAGCCCATTGGTCCCCATCTAGCTCGACAAGGAAAAAGCTGATGAATCCAATAACCAAGAAGACCTGCCATGGAAACTAGGAATTCCTCCTCTGGAGATTCCTTACTTTTCTTGCTAAACCCAAGAATCAACACCATTTAATATTCATAAAAAGAACACTAAATGAGCGANAATAACCAAGAAGACCTGCCATGGAAACTAGGAATTCCTCCTCTGGAGATTCCTTACTTTTCTTTCTAAACCCAAGAATCAACACCATTTAATATTCATAAAAAGAACACTAAATGAGCGATTATTGTATACCAACAACTACTCCAATCCAAACACACCTCCTTAGTAACCGATTCCTCTCCTTGATTTTCCTTCCTATAGACTCGGGACCATCCTCTCTCTCTCTCTCCACCCAAAAGGAAGTAAAAGATAATGTGGAGAGACAAAGTCCACCTTCACTTTCAGCATTGTTATCATCATTACTGATACAGTATCATTCCCTCATCAGTTCTTCATTTCATTTACGTTCTGAATTGTTTTTGTTCCACGCTGAGATATATNTCATGTGGAGAGACAAAGTCCACCTTCACTTTCAGCATTGTTATCATCATTACTGATACAGTATCATTCCCTCCTCAGTTCTTCATTTCATTTACGTTCTGAATTGTTTTTGTTCCACGCTGAGATATATTCTTCTTTTTTCGTTTGTGTGACTGTTGAGTAATTACTACATGGCGTGTATAATGAAGTTAGGATCCAAATCAGAAGTTTTTCACCGCGATGGCCACACCTGGTCAGTCATTTCTTTGATTTTTCTTTTTTCCCATGTTCATTTTCTCTGAGAATTGCGTATTGGGTTTTGATTTTTTTTTTCCCAATTGGTGCAATGGGTTTGTTCATTTTGTGTCAGTGATTTGATCTACGTATGTTTCAGTGGACAATGCATGTGTGAACATGATACACGTTGCATTAATTCAGTTTTATTTTAGTGTATCGTCTGAGATTATGCTTTAAGGGAAGATTAATATGTCGAGGACTCATATGAGGTGGAAGGTGTTTGTTAATATTATCCAGTGCCGGTACAAGGTACATATACACCAAGGGACTAACATATAGACATCGATTTTCGGAAGGAGTGGCACCGGAGAAGATTGACTGACTGGATAATATTCACAAACAGCTTATACTGTATTGGTTTATGGCATTCGAGAAATCGATTTCTCTATGTTAGTCCCTTAGCGTATATGTACTGCCTATGCTGCAATTGCTTGGCATTCGAAAAATTGATTCTATATGTTAGCCACTTAGTTTATATCTACCTTGTATCTGCATTTTGGTTCTTGCATATGTTCACTACTTGAGCACTTTTGAAGATTAAAAAGTATGCCTTGTTGAAGTTCAAACATTCGTAACGTTTTTAGAATGTAATTTTTTCACAACCCGTCTTCCTTTGGGACCTGCCATTAGTATTTTTATAGACCAGGGAATGACCTTAGTAATTTTTTGGTTCCTGAAGAGGGACCTTACCAGGACACATGGAAAGTAAATGGTGTATACTTTGATATTGGAAAGAACATCAAGGTGCACTTGCATAAGAAGATGTGTCTGTATAACCTGGATGATTAGAAAAGAATGACAAAAACATGAACCTAGTTCATTTGAAGGGATCCGAAATTCAACACTCCTATGCATGACCTGACTTTTAACTGGGTGGAATTCTCTAATTGTTTAACTACCCAACCATAAAACATTGAAATTAAGGGATTATACATTTCTTTGTTATATATGCAAATGAGATCTTGATAGGTAAATATGACTTTGGTAATTAATTTGAACTGTCAATTTTTTAACCCAATGGATTGGGACTCATCTATGCGGTCGAATTTCATATTATATGATGAATTTACTATTGGAATATTGCATGGATATATGCGTGAAAGCTGATGCAAAACTAAACAATTATCCAATTCTAGACAACATTAATAGGGTGAAATTAAGTTTCTGCAAAACAAAGCTTGTAAGATAAGGTACTTCCCCCGAATAGAATTATCCTAAACCACAAACAGATAGAGGCTTCTTAGTGAAATCGTGGACTCGTGGTGCACTGGGGATGTGTTGTCTCTTCCTTCAACAGACAACCCTATGATATCTGTTTTATAGGAGGCATCACAAATGCATGTCCAGTGCTCATTCCCATGTCATGGCTGGCATAGGTGCTTTGCACTGTTTCAAGAGTCCGTGTTAGACTGACTTGAAGGTTGTAATCCAACTTCCCTCCAAGGACCTTCGTTCCCTAATTTCCCTATATTTGATGATTTTTTGAAAAGTTCTATCTGATGTTCAAGTTTCTTTTCATAGTAGTGTTTGTTTATTCTGCATGATCTCTATGTCCTGCATCATGGCTTCTTTTCTATTTGATTTGTAAAAGTTGAACACAGAAATATAAGACGTTACTGAGGATCACAGATCATCCAGGACCCAATGTTATAACTTGTACAATCTCCCTCTAGTTAACTCAAATTGGACATGAATAAAGATAAGAGCAATGTTATGCTGACCAAATTGTTGCCAAAATTTTGTATCCCAAATCAATATAGGTGGTTGGATTAGTGGGTTTCACTAACTCCCCCAAATATTCAATGTATGGGATTTTGACACATCACTTAGAATACAAAATTTGGTAAATAAATTGGGCAGCACAGTTTTATACTTTCAAATGTGCATTGGCTTGAATTGAGGGTGTTAAGTTGTTGATGGTCTAATGGGTCAGTTGCATAGTGGTCTACTCTTTCAAAGATTTTCCATGTGATGATGCTTTTCAGCAAATACTTTGGAAACAAAACAGGTAAGGTTGACTAAATCATATATTGACAAATTAAATCGTTTTGTTAATTTTTAGCTCCTTCAGGGGGAAGAAAAGGGGAGTGGAATGTGGATATTTGATTAAGTTGGGTCAAATTGAATTGAGGTACTGTTTTCATTTAACAGAGTCTTTGGTCTTACATGGTGATATTCTGCATAGCTCTAACCTGGGATCATAAACAGGGATGCGAGATCCTGCATCCTATAGGTCTGCTAAGTGTCTTATGGTTTAAGTGCTGAAGTCAATCATATCCTTGTAATCCCAAGGTTATTTCTCCATTCAGTTTACTGTTTCAGTGTTTCTCACCGTGTTCAATCTTGGTATATATAGTTGTGACCATTTTATAGGTCAATAGGTTGGAAAGTTTCTTTCTTAAGTCTTCTACAGATGGTAATGAAACACATTGTGTGTAAATTTTTGAAGAACCTTGCATCTTCTGTTGAAATGTCTGTGGCATGCTTGCAGCACTTACATTCCAGTAAACAACTCATAATTGTTGAACACTAAAATTTTGTCTCCAGTTTTGATCAAGTAAGTGTTCATCATTAATGTTAGTATTAGAATTATTAGTCAACCTTCTGAATAATTTAAATATACAGAATTTCTCGATTGATTTCTGCATTGTTCCCAATAAAGTATGAATTTGTGTTTTTATTTGTGTTGTACATTTTTTTATCTTTTGATATATACTGTGTAGAGCCAACAATAAGTGTGGTTTATCGCAGGCTCTGCTCAACTGGCCTTCCAAATGATGTCATTATTCAAGTGGGAGAGATGGCATTTCACCTCCACAAGGTGTATTTCAGTTGGCCAACATCACTGTGTTTTCTATTTTGATTATATTATACCACACTTTGTATGTTAACACCATCTCCTTATGGTCATTCTCTTCTTTTTTTTTCAATAAAAAATAGTTTGTCATTCTGTTTTCTTTTCTCTTCTATATATGAATGCTTTGAAAAGTTCAAAATTTAACCTCCTGCTCTGCGTGCTTTGTTTTTCACGACACTTTAACACTGTTTCTTGTGGATGTGTTTAATGCAGTTGTTTTGTAAATGCTTTTATTCCCCCCCCCCCCAATTTTTTGTTTCCTTTTTTTCAATCCCCCTCACCCCCAACCCTTTGTCATCACTCATTGAGCTGCTCTTGGCTATCCTTTGTTCCCCTTGTGTTGCAGTTTCCATTGTTGTCCAGAAGCAGGGTATTAGAAAATCATATCTCAGAACTTTCTGATGGGGATGATAAAAAAGGTGATGACGACAAGAAGTCCGTTCTGCAACTTAATGACTTACCAGGAGGAGAGAAAACCTTTTTGCTTGTATCCAAGTTCTGTTATGGTGTTAAAATAGAACTCACTGCACTGAATGTAGTCAGTCTTAGGTGTGCAGCAGATTATCTTCAAATGACTGAAGAATATGGAGACGGGAACCTGATTATGCAAACANACAGGTCAATAGGTTGGAAAGTTTCTTTCTTAAGTCTTCTACAGATGGTAATGAAATACATTGTGTGTAAATTTTTGAAGAACCTTGCATCTTCTGTTGAAATGTCTGTGGCATGCTTGCAGCGCTTACATTCCAGTAAACGACTCATAATTGTTGAACACTAAAATTTTGTCTCCAGTTTTGATCAAGTAAGTGTTCATCATTAATGTTAGTATTAGAATTATTAGTCAACCTTCTGAATAATTTAAATATACAGAATTTCTCGATTGATTTCTGCATTGTTCCCAATAAAGTATGAATTTGTGTTTTTATTTGTGTTGTACATTTTTTTATCTTTTGATATATACTGTGTAGAGCCAACAATAAGTGTGGTTTATCGCAGGCTCTGCTCAACTGGCCTTCCAAATGATGTCATTATTCAAGTGGGAGAGATGGCATTTCACCTCCACAAGGTGTATTTCAGTTGGCCAACATCACTGTGTTTTCTATTTTGATTATATTATACCACACTTTGTATGTTAACACCATCTCCTTATGGTCATTCTCTTCTTTTTTTTTCAATAAAAAATAGTTTGTCATTCTGTTTTCTTTTCTCTTCTATGTATGCATGCTTTGAAAAGTTCAAAATTTAACCTCCTGCTCTGCGTGCTTTGTGTTTCACAACACTTTAACACTGTTTCTTGTGGATGTGTTTAATGCAGTTGTTTTGTAAATGCTTTTATTCCCCCCCCCCCCAATTTTTTGTTTCCTTTTTTTCAATCCCCCTCACCCCCAACCCTTTGTCATCACTCATTGAGCTGCTCTTGGCTATCCTTTGTTCCCCTTGTGTTGCAGTTTCCATTGTTGTCCAGAAGCAGGGTATTAGAAAATCATATCTCAGAACTTTCTGATGGGGATGATAAAAAAGGTGATGACGACAAGAAGTCCGTTCTGCAACTTAATGACTTACCAGGAGGAGAGAAAACCTTTTTGCTTGTATCCAAGTTCTGTTATGGTGTTAAAATAGAACTCACTGCACTGAATGTAGTCAGTCTTAGGTGTGCAGCAGATTATCTTCAAATGACTGAAGAATATGGAGACGGGAACCTGATTATGCAAACAGAGACTTTTCTCGACGAAGTGTTTGGCAACTGGGTTGACACGATTAAAGCTCTTGAAACCTGTGAGGAGGTNAATATGGAGACGGGAACCTGATTATGCAAACAGAGACTTTTCTCGATGAAGTGTTTGGCAACTGGGTTGACACGATTAAAGCTCTTGAAACCTGTGAGGAGGTTCTTCCTAATGCCGAAGAGCTTCATATTGTTTCCAGGTGCATCAATTCCTTGGCAATGAAAGCTTGCACAGATCCGAGTTTGTTCAGCTGGCCTGTGTCAGGAAGCAGTGGCTCTCAGAGTCCAGTTGGCACTGTTTTTTGGAATGGAATACACACTGCTTCCAAGCCACATTCTCTGAGTGAGGATTGGTGGTACGAGGATGTGTCCTCCCTCAGATTACCTCTATATAAAAGGCTAATCCAGGCTGTTGGTTCGAGAGGCATGAAGCCAGAGAGGATTGCTGGCTCGCTTATGTTCTATGCAAAAAAGTATCTCCCCTTGAATGGCAGGCAATCAAGCCTTCAGAATGGGAAACATGCTGCCCCTGGACCAACACTTTCTGCCTCATCTCAGACAGATCAAAGGACTCTCCTTGAAGAGATTGTGGAGTTACTACCTGATCAAAAGGGAATAACGCCAACCAAGCTCCTGCTTAGGCTTCTTCGAACATCCATGATTTTACATGCAAGTCCATCTTGTCGGGAGAATTTGGAGAAGAGGGTTGGGTCCCAGTTAGATCAAGCAGTTATGGATGATCTTCTAATACCAAATATGGGCTACTCAGTGGAAACCCTCTATGATATTGACTGTGTACAACGAATCCTTGATCACTTCATGCTGGTGGATGAAGATGCAATTGAGTCTGCCTCAAATTGCTTGGATGATGAGGGGCAGATGATGGGAGGTTCCCACAAACTGACCCCATTGACAATGGTGGCTAATCTAGTGGACAACTATTTGGCTGAGGTGGCACCCGATGTTAATCTAAAGTTAATGAAATTTCGGTCACTCGCTGCTGTAATCCCAGATTATGCTAGACAAAATGAGGATGGTATTTACCGGGCAATTGATATATATCTGAAGGTAAAAATGATATTTGATGGTTACTCCTATAAGAGCATTTCTATTGCGAAAGGCAGGTGCTTTTTTGCTTGCATATAAGATTGTTTTATCCTGCAATCTGAATTTAACCCTTTCCATCTCAAGGTATGGTATTGTAGATGGTATTCATATGTAGAAGCACCAAACCATCTTAATGTAATCAAATGACAAAACTCCTTTTTAGTGATTTATATCCGCAAGTATAGAGAACAACAGATACGAAATTTTTGGAGAACTCAGAAAATCCAAGCATATATTTTGACTGGTAAAATAAAGATGAGTATGAATGGCTAATACTTCCACCTTCTATTGCTTGATGAAGCATGTCATTTGGCTATATAGAAATNCGAAATTTTTGGAGAACTCAGAAAATCCAAGCATATATTTTGACTGGTAAAATAAAGATGAGTATGAATGACTAATACTTCCACCTTCTATTGCTTGATGAAGCATGTCATTTGGCTATATAGAAATGTGGAATGAAATGAAAATTTTGGAAGTCTTAATTATTTGTAATCCGTTAAAAACTATTTGACGGGGGTAAACGGATAATACAAATCTTACCTTTTAGTAAATAATGCTAGAGGGCAGAAGAACTTATTGGAAAAAAATGCACCTCAAGTACATTTCACATTGGCTACTGGTTTCCAAATGTCTGGTACTAACTGGTATGCATATGAATTCAGCGCTGTAAAACTGTTTCTTTGTCAGTTGGAGTCACCTGCAAGCAAATTGTACAATTCTACATTTTGTTTACTAATTCTTCACTTTTAGTTTGTTTAGTATTTAGCTATGGGATGGAGTATTGCTGCATGCTAAAATAAATTCATTTGCTTCTTGTGCCATATTCTCAACTCTTGCACTATACTTCTTGGCTCATGTGTCTCTGACGTATCCATGTTCTGTTGATCTTCAGTGTAACTTTATTAGCAGATGCTTGTGCTATGTTTATCACTGCTCTTATCCTGACTATCAGATGTTATGTTTGAAAATAACCAAGGATTATGTGGAATATGGGTGAAACATGTGAAAACATTGAGTGGGCATTAGCGCAGAGGTAAGATTGTTCCATTGTGATTGAAGCATTACGAGGTTGAGTCACGGAGACAGCCTCTTGCTAGTGACATAAGGCTGGTNGATTATGTGGAATATGGGTGAAACATGTGAAAACATTGAGTGGGCATTAGCGCAGAGGTAAGATTGTTCCATTGTGATTTAAGCATTACGAGGTTGAGTCACGGAGACAGCCTCTTGCTAGTGACATAAGGCTGGTGTATTTCACTCTCCCCAAGCCTCGAGGTAGTGGGAGCCTCATCCACTGGCCTACCCTTTATGTAAAAACATTAGATTCTGCTCAACCACGTTGAAAATACTGTGCTCGGGCCACTAACTTTGCATCATCCCTTCAACTTTGAGCTCTAACACCAATATCTTTGATTTTCCTTTTTTTTTTTAGTTTTTTTCTTTATCTTTCTATGGGAGGCGGTTTGGGGAGGATATCATTTTGTTGTAGCTAGTAGATGTCATTCTTCTCTGAATGATACTTACATCTTATATTAGAGTGCTAATGGGTTCTGGAACTTCAGGCACATCCATGGCTCATGGACTCTGAAAGGGAACAACTTTGCAGGCTCATGAACTTCCAGAAGCTCTCATTAGAAGCAATCACCCATGCAGCTCAGAATGAGAGACTACCACTGCGTGTCATCGTCCAAGTTCTATTTTTTGAACAGCTCCAACTCCGTACATCTGTAGCTAGTTGGTTATATGTCACAGACAATCTTGAGAGCTCACAAAATCCAAGCGGTAATTTGGCACCCAACAGGAATGACCGTGCCATCCAATTAGGCTGTGCAGATAATCGAATTGTTGCTGTTGATGATATCAGGGAACGGGTTACTGAGCTTGAAAATGAGTGCTTAAGCATGAAACAAGAGATGGAGAAGCTTGTGAAGACCAAGCGGAGTTGGAACAGCTTATGCAAAATGTTGGGTTTAAGGCTCAAATCGAAGTCTTGTGACCCTAAAGCTTCAAAGATGCACTGCAATGCCAAAGTTTCACCACCATCAACAACACCACTTCTCAATGGGAAACAACATCAAGATAATGGTCAGTTGGTTGATTGAATCCCCCTCCAGGCCTCCACCACCTGAAACTTTAGTCGCATTTTGTTTCTTTGCGGATAAGTTGATGCTGTAATTAAATTTAGACATCTGAATTGAGTTCTTTCTTTCTGTTCTAGTTTACTGATTCTCATATCTTTGGCTCTATATTTCTTTTTCTTTTGCCGAGCTTGTAGTCACACTCCCCAGGTTGTGGAATGGACACCAATGCTGTGAAAATTGCTGCAAACATTTGAAAGGTAAATGGTTGTTTGAAAAGAAATGCCACTTTCTTATGATGCTATTGAAGTGCATTAAGTTTGATGATGCTGTGGTTTGCTACCCCCAGCTTATATTTCTGACCCCTCAGTTTTTCTCGTAACATGTTTCAATTGAAGAAAGTATAGAACTGAAGCCGAATATACCTTGCAGTGTGCACAAAATCTAATGTCCTGGACAAAAGCAGTGATATCCCTCAGGGGAACTCCCTCTCTTGAGCTAAGCGCGACAATTTCAATGTTATTGCTCTGGACTGAAACATACTGCAGCTGCACGTTTTTGGGTGTACTATTCACCGTTCACCGCTCCTAAACAGCCTCTATTTTGATTTTATACTGATGTCCTACATCAATATCTTAACAAACTTACCCAATGTATAGCTTAATTCATAACACTTGGATGCATGGTTCTGATTAACAGTATATCTATATTTGCTCAAGTGTATTAACTAATGCACAAGTGCAATGTCTATCCAGATACAGATGCCATCAACTATATCTCCGCTCAAACCCCCAAGGCGACGCCTCAAATACTTAGAGAGTAGTGAGCACCTTCCCCTCTCCGCTGCAATATTATCTTGTAAATAGAGGCTTAGTAAAGGTGTCCAAATCTCTTGTTTGAAGGATTCAGTTAGTAACTTGTGTAGGAGTTCTCAAAATGGTCAATGGCACTGGGCTTGAATCTCTTGTAGATCAAGAACTCACTCCCATGGAGAAGACTCTAGAATGTGTGTGCGGGATATACGAGGCTCTCTCTTCAAGTTTGATACCACTTGTTGGTTTTGCACAAGGGATAATTAACATAAATAATTTTCGCTCGATTTGCTTGCTTAAATTGAATTACAAGCCCTAACTTGTAAGTTTATGGTACAGAAAATTGGAATCAATGAGGAGGCGTACGTTGTTGATCTTAAGAAAGGGGAGGTCAAGAAAGGTTAGGGTTTCTGATTCCCTCTCTAATTGGTTATCTCGTTTATATAGTTCTTGATTTCATTTAAATTGACTGAAGTTGAAATAACTCATTCTTTTGTACTGTACTTGATTTCATTTGAATTGACTGAAGATGAATTCAGTAAATAAATAAGTGTTGATAGAATGGGGTTAAGTTATCGAATCCAGAATTAGGTAGTACTCTTCCCGAATCCTATTTCCAGCCCCTGAATTTCTAATTTTGTGACTGGTCTGTGATCAAATGATGAATCAATGTCCTGTTCTTCCTTATTTGCAACTGAAAGTTAGTACAAAAACTGGAAATTGTATTTGACCAATGCTTGTTTGGCCTTCATTTGCTAGTTATAATCGTTATTCATCCTCTGAAGCAAATGAATGTATTGAATGCCATGATTTTGATTGCTTGTCGGTTGTTTTGGTCAATTTAGGGCAATATTCTTTTACGGACGATGATTTCCTTAAGGTTGCCACTGGGAAGATGAATCCCCAATTTGCTTTCATGAGGTATTAGAAAATAAGAATTCAAAAATAAAAAAATAATAAAAATATGATACAAAATATAACGTGATTTGATACATCATACTCAATTTGATACACAGTACCTACATCCACAGACCATACTTACATCCATGGATCAAAATCCTACATTGATATATTATTCACTGATATCTAATCATTTGATAACTGATTACATAATACACATATCTATTTATAAGGTAAAATACTGTAACCAAAATTTATTTAAATACAACTTGATTTTTATGTTTCCTATCACATTTTAATATACCTATTCATAATATATTAAAACTCTTCTTCATAAAAATTAGAGAGTTTGAGTTAATTTCCAACAACTTCCCTCGAACCAAACTCTTCAAATTTGGTCATGCCCAAGATCAGACTCCTGTCATTATGACTAATATACTTATTCATAGTATATTAAAATTTTTTATCATAACAATTAGAAAGTTTCAGTCAAATTTCAATAATCTCCCTTCAAATTTTGTCATACCCAAGATCAGGCTCTCATCATTGTAAAGAGTTTTTGTCAAATTTCAATAATCTCTTGTCATTGCGGGATTTGGAGATAGTTAGATATATGTAGTTTTACCTCAGCAAGTAGAGAGATTGTTTTCACGATTCGAACTCGTGACCTCCAAGTCACAATAAAATAATTTTACCGTTGCGCTAAGACCCGCCCTTAAATTCCTTAAAATTGCATCATACATCCAGCATTCACTCCTAAAGAAGCTTTATCACACTTGACGAACAAAGAATCTTCATTCATCAATCCAAGAGAGAGCCACCAATAGATAGATATGAGGACACTAGCATCTTTTTTTTACATCATTGGGACCTAATCATGAAGCATTTTACTCCAGCCTTGTCTCGAGGCATGAACTTAAANAACAATAGATAGATACGAGGACACTAGCATCTTTTTTTAACATCAATGGGACCTAATCATGAAGCATTTTACTCCAGCCTTGTCTCGAGGCATGAACTTAAAAAGGTTTTAAATAGTGTGCCATAAAATTAAAGCCGCTAAAGTTAGGAACACTAATATATTTATGAGTTATAAAACACCTGTTTACACCATGAAAGTCAAAAATCAAAAACTACAATAAAAGAGGAGATTTCCGAATTAGCTAATCTCTACGAAATATATCATGCAAAAAGATAAAATTGAAAACCAGCATTGACAGATCGCACTGGATAATCGTAGCTTGAAATTGAAAAAATTAATTCAAGCATGAAAATACATAGAGCTTACCTGACTTAATTGTTCAAGCAGATCACACTGGACAAAAATAAAATGAGTAAATATTTTGAAACTCGAAAATTATAAAATCAATTCAATCTATGACAATATATGTGTGTGTAGACAGAAAATCACACGATAACAGGGAATATTACAAAGCTTATCTATGACGATCATCGACTAGGGGATGAAATCGACAAATAAGATTAGCAGCTGATTTTCGCTCATTCTCTATGGTTTCTAGATTCATTCCACCGACTAGTAGATGAGGTTGGGTTTAGGTGTTTTAATTCCACCAACTGGTATGTAAGTTTAGGTTTATGTGTTTAATGTAAATAAGTAATTAGCTAAACGCTAAAAAAATAAATAACATATTTTTACCTAATATGGGTATCATTTTCTTTTCTTTTCGGTCAAATTTTGGCAAAATTGACTTTTGAGATTAAGAATGATAACTCATTCATCCATTTTTCATTTATTCTCATTCCTTTTCTCTATGAAACATGATGTTTTAATTTTTTATCCTTTTAANTAATATGGGTATCATTTTCTTTTCTTTTTGGTCAAATTTTGGTAGAATTGACTTTTGAGATTAAGAATGATAACTCATTCATCCATTTTTCATTTATTCTCATTCCTTTTCTCTATGAAACATGATGTTTTAATTTTTTATCCTTTTAATTTATTTTTTCTTGGTTCAACAATATCGTTTTGTTTTAGGTCCAGACATGCTTAAACACATCTTGACTAATATTCACCCCAGTTCAGTCAAATATAAATATTTCATATGAAAATTAAAGTATTTATAAAGAATAAATCCCACATGATATGATGATGTAGAAAAGTGGGCAGAAACATAACTATGTCACCGATACTACATCACATGACTCTAAAGAATTGTTAAGATTCGAATTCAAAAAATTTAAATTTACAACTCGTTTATGTTAGTTATCAGTTTTTAGATACCCTTTCGATAAAATTTGGCTCCAACAAGTTAGGTATTCCGCTGGCTATTTCCCATAACCCATTCTTCCCTCGCTATTTCTGGTGTGCCACAAAGCTCGCTTTTGTGCCAATTTTGTCACTCCACAACACCCCCAAATTCCTGACTCTCTCTGTCTCTCTCACAGAAGCTCCATAGCACCCCCAATTTCATCTTCGTCATCGCACAAAAGATTCATCGTCCACCCAGGTATGGAGTTCTCTCTCTCTCATAGACACACACACACACACACACACACAAAAACTCTGTGTATTTATACCACTGAAAACCCACTAAAATCCCACAAAAAAATCACTAAAATCCCACTGAAAATCCATTGGAATCCCACCAAAAAATCCACTGAAATCTCACCAAAAAAATCCACTGAAATCCCATCGAAAAATCCACTGAAAAACCACCGAAACCCCATGAAAATCCCACTGAAAAACCCATGACCAAACCCACTGAAACCAAAAAAATTCTTTGGTTTGCATGTCTAGTTTGTCATTCTTTGGATCCAGACGCTGATAGCATTTTTTTTAAAAGGATTCAGTTTGGATTCGAAATATGGAAATGGGTTTGTGGGTCTGATTTTAATACTCAGATAAAGTTAATTGAAATAATNACTTTTTTTTTCTTGGTTCAACAATATCGTTTTGTTTTAGGTCCAGACATGCTTAAACACATCTCGACTAATATTCACCCCAGTTCAGTCAAATATAGATCTTTCGTATGAAAATTAAAGTATTTATAAAGAATAAATCTTACATGATATGATGATGTAGAAAAGTGGGCAGAAACATAACTATGTCACCTATACTACATCACATGACTCCAAAAAATTATTAAGATTCGAACTCAAAAAATTTAAATTTACAACTCGTTTATGTTAGTTATGAGTTTTTAGATACCCTTTCGATAAAATTTGGCTCCAACAAGTTAGGTATTCCGCTGGCTATTTCCCATAACCCATTCTTCCCTCGCTATTTCTGGTGTGCCACAAAGCTCGCTTTTGTGCCAATTTTGTCACTCCACAACACCCCCAAATTCCTGACTCTATCTGTCTCTCTCACAGAAGCTCCATAGCACCCCCAATTTCATCTTCGTCATCGCACAAAAGATTCATCGTCCACCCAGGTATGGAGTTCTCTCTCTCTCATAGACACACACACACAAAAACTCTGTGTATTTATACCACTGAAAACCCACTAAAATCCCACAAAAAAATCACTAAAATCCCACTGAAAATCCATTGGAATCCCACCAAAAAATCCACTGAAATCTCACCAAAAAAATCCACTGAAATCCCATCGAAAAATCCACTGAAAAACCACCGAAACCCCATGAAAATCCCACTGAAAAACCCATGACCAAACCCACTGAAACCAAAAAAATTCTTTGGTTTGCATGTCTAGTTTGTCATTCTTTGGATCCAGACGCTGATAGCATTTTTTTTAAAAGGATTCAGTTTGGATTCGAAATATGGAAATGGGTTTGTGGGTCTGATTTTAATACTCAGATAAAGTTAATTGAAATAATTAGTTAAAGTAACTAGCGTTTTTGAAGTGAATTAGTAGAAATTATCTTTTAAAATAGATTGTGGAATAAAAAGTATTATTTTGACTAGCTAAAATAACTTGGAGTTGCTCTAAGCATATTTTGTTAAGTGAGCAGAAGAGATAAAGTCATTGAGAATTAATTTTTTTTATTTGATGCTCTAATAGAATAATTTGTCAGTTCACACTAGTCAACAATATCATTATAATTATAGTTGTTGATTTTTTTATTTGATTAATTATATATAGTCTTAATCGATTCTTTTTTTTGTTTTGAACAGATAGTCTTAATAAGTTTCGATGTTAAATAACCAAATTTATTAAATTCGTTAAATAAATAAATTAACATAAATTTAGTTAAGTATAATATTAGTCCAGTCAAGTTTGACTAAACTTCATTTTATTCTCCTGGTTTACCTCAGTTGGAGATAACATTCTTGAGTTTCAAAAAGAGTTTTTTTTTTTTTTTTTTNTCCCATCTAAAAATCCACTGAAAAACCACCGAAACCCCATGAAAATCCCACTGAAAAACCCATGACCAAACCCACTGAAACCAAAAAAATTCTTTGGTTTGCTTGTCTAGTTTTTCATTCTTTGGATCCAGACGCTGATAGCAAATTTGGAAAAAAAATTCTCTGATTTGTTATGTTTTTTTTGAAAGGATTCAGTTTGGATTCGAAATATGGAAATGGGTTTGTGGGTCTGATTTTAATACTCAGATAAAGTTAATTGAAATAATTAGTTAAAGTAACTAGCGTTTTTGAAGTGAATTAGTAGAAATTATCTTTTAAAATAGATTGTGGAATAAAAAGTATTATTTTGACTAGCTAAAATAACTTGGAGTTGCTCTAAGCATATTTTGTTAAGTGAGCAGAAGAGATAAAGTCATTGAGAATTAATTTTTTTTATTTGATGCTCTAATAGAAGAATTTGTCAGTTCACACTAGTCAACAATATCATTATAATTATAGTTGTTGATTTTTTTATTTGATTAATTACATATAGTCTTAATCGATTCTTTTTTTTGTTTTGAACAGATAGTCTTAATAAGTTTCGATGTTAAATAACCAAATTTATTAAATTCGTTAAATAAATAAATTAACATAAATTTAGTTAAGTATAATATTAGTCCAGTCAAGTTTGACTAAACTTCATTTTATTCTCCTGGTTTACCTCAGTTGGAGATAACATTCTTGAGTTTCAAAAAGAGTTTTTTTTTTTTTTTTTTTATGTACATACATTTTTTTAAACTTATTTAAGAGAAAGTGTATGGATAAATATTTTACTCTATTAAGTTTCAATTTTAATAAAACATCTTGTGATTAGGTCTTTTGAATTTTTTTACTTATTTATCCTTCTTTAAATTATGCATAATTTTTATTCTCTCCATTGATAGTTTATTTTCTTTTCAAATATGTAAAAATTTGATTTGATTTGATTTGATTTTTTCATTTCTCTCCCTCTCATTCTTTCATCCTATTTTCTCTCACTGTTACTCTCTTTCAATTTTTTTTATCTCTCGCTTTATATCAATGTTATAACAACATAATTACACTAATCAGTTATAATTGTCTTAAAATACATCAAACAATTACTCATGTGTTTTAATAAATCAAACAATTACACCAAATAGTTACAAAAAGTTATGACACAAATCCAATTTATCATTCAGTTAATTACATAAATCAAATAATTGCGCCGTTTAATATCACAACATAGTTACACTAATTATATATATCAAAATTGGTACAATGGTAAAGTTTTTTGTGTAATAATAAACCTAATTTGGTATATATAATTGGTGTAATCATGTCTTGATATTAAATGGTGTAACTCTTTAGTTTATATAAAAAATCGAAAGAGCAATTGGGTTTATGTTGTAATTTTGTTTAATTGTTTAGTATAATTGTTTGATTTATTAGAACATATGAATAACTATTTTTGTGTATTATATGATAATTTTAACTGATTAGTGTAATTATATTATTGTAATGTTGATGTAAGAAAAGAGAAAATAAAAAGATAAATAGTAATGGTGAGAGAAAATAGGAAAGAAAGTGAGAGAGAGAAAAAAAAAATTAAGAGAAAAGATAAAAAAAATTAAATCAAATATTTATATATTTAAAAAAAATAAATTATAGAGAAATACGGAGAAAAAAGGGAAAATGGAGTGAGAGAGTAACGGAGAGGGGGGGAGAGAGAGTAATGAAGTCATAAATGGTCATTTAGTCTTTTCTAAAAAAATATACTTAGAGTCAAATAAATTTTTTTAATGTAGTTTAGTTCAATTAAATCTAAATTTTTGTAACAACTTTCAAATTCCCTTTTCAAAACTATCATATAATTAGGCCTGATAATTATGTCAATTTTGTAATTTTTTGTTGGGTTTTAGTAGGTTTTTGTATACGATTCATTTATTAAATAGATAAAAAATTAAAAAATTAAGTAAAATTTATTTGTGTAACAGGTTACACATAACATGACTGTAGGACCCGCTAATTCTATGATTAAAATAATTAAAAATGTCATATCATTAAATCTGTCAATTGTGTCAGTTATGCTATTTTTGTTGAGTCATAATGGGTTTCAGTCAAAAATTTACTCAACATGCATACGACTCATTTATTAAATTGGTATAAATTAAAAAATCAAGTACACTTTATTTATTTAACAAGTTACATGACACGCCTAATTAAAAAAATTGAAACTCCTAATTTTACAAACAAATTAAGTCATCTATTAAATGAATAAACAAGTACTCCTTCAGTTTCTAAATATTTGTCGTTTTACATAATTTTTTTTGTTTTATAATATCTGCCGTTTAATGAAACTAAAACATAATTAATATTTTTTCTTAGAAATTTATCCTTAACTTTTCAATATACTCCTTCCGTTCCTAAATATCTGTTGTTTTATTCAATTTTTTTTGTTTCATAATATCTGTCATTTTATGAAACCAAATCATAATTAATATTTTTTCTTCCAAATTTACCTTTATCTCTGTTTTCTAATAAATGCTTAATAGATTAAGTGTAGGCTAAGTGTCTTTCATATTTTTTTTATTCCCAATACGTATTGAATAATGATACTTTAGTCTTGTGCAATTATTTTTTACTCATACTATAGTTATTTAATAACTTCCTTAATTCCTGTGCAAAAACTGTAAACGACAGATATTTAAGAACGGAGGGAGTATTAGATTAGGTGGAGGTTAAATGCTTTTTATATTTCTTTTATTCCCAATACGTATTGAATAAGAGTATTTTAGTCTTGTGTAATTATTTTTTACTCATATTAGAACTATTTAATAACTTTCTTAATTCCTGTGTAAAAATCTTAAATAAAACATATTTAGGAACGGAGAGAGTAATTGTGTGGCAAAGTGGTAATTGAGTTGTATATTACTAATTTATTAAATGGGTACTTGATAAATAGATTAAAGCATTTCGTTAGAGCACAACTTCTTTATTAAACAGGTTAGACGGATCATCCGTTTATCACTTGAACTTGTTAATTGCATCGTCAATTCGTATCAGGTAATCAGATATTTTCCGGTAATGACCCACACCGGCGGTTTGGGACATGGCTGGGTATGCACAAATCATTTTATAAAGACAAAAACGGGCCTTAAAAATGGTTGAAATTACAAAAATACAATTTGATCCTTGACCCATTAACAAACTGACCCGCTTTAGTGAATTTCACAAACTCTCTCTCCTCTTATTGGTCTTGTCGCTGTTTCTCCATCTCGCTCACTTCTCTGTCTATCTCTCTTTCTCTTCCGGCCGACAGCACCACCACCCACCATCACCGTCTCAGTCGGTGAAGAGTGGACGGCAACTGAGTCCGTGGCTGTGAAAAGTGGACGACTATTGATTTTGAGGTGATTTTGAATTTGGTCCACTGTACCCTCGTCTTTCTCTCTGATTTTATGTTTGAGTTACATGTTGATTCAATTTCGATTATTGGTTTTGTTCTGATTTTGATTTTTGCTTTCCATTTTCGAGTTTTAATTGGACTTCGAATTTGATTCTGCTTTTAGATTGGAATTTCATTTTTGATTTTTGGTGAGGAATTTAGAATTTAGATGGTGATGATTGGGTAGGTTGACATGGGTGGTGATGGTTCAGTGAGTGCCGGAGCTGATGTTGGATTTGTTTATCTTCTCTTGGGTTTGATATAGACTGTTGTGGAAGTCTGCAGTAGTGTGCTGCAACATGAGTTTTGTGCTATTAATCATCTTCTTTCGTCTAATTCGCTCTTCTTTCCTGCTCTTCACAGCAGATCTCACCCCTTGAAACCATAAATTTGGCTCGCTTTACAAACCAAGGTATCTCTCTGTACATACGCGCGTGCACACACAAGCACCATAATACGATTTTATAGAAGAATAAACTTCCATATAAGTTTCCGTTTGTTTGGTTAGTGGCAGTATCTTGAACTTCAATTCACAGTAGAAATAAACAAGCTTATGGAGGATTTTTTTTTGGTTAAAATTAGGTGATTCGTAATTTCCTCTGTGTTTGTGTGTTTGTGCCGTTGTATTTTTAGGAAGTAATGGAATCAGGGGAATAGGTGACCCCTTTGATTGCTACGAAAAATAAAAGGAAATAAAGCTAATTCGACTTTAACTCCACCCACAACCACCCAAAACCACCATTGTCACCCTTCGGCCCCACTGATTGCTCCCAAGCAATCAACCACCCAAAACCCGGCAAAACCGCTACTGTCACCCTTTGCTCCCACCTGCTACAAAACCGCTACGCCCACCACACCTTTCCCGCTGAAACCTATCATCCATCCCTACCCACCAGCTGCAATCCCACTACTTCCTCACATTCCTCCATCCAGCTCGCTGCAACCTGCAATTCTGTTGCTAATGTATGTTCTAATACAAATGTGCTGTGTTAGGACTTGAAACCATCAACAACACCTGAATTGAAGGCGAAAATATGGTTTTGCGGTGTTGGGGGTATTGTGGGTTTGCAGAGTCCGGTGTGGATTTTGGGGTTAGGGCTTTAGTGGTGGAAGGTGGTTGATTTCTAGACCAAATTTGATGTTTAGGGAGTTGCAAGGTTTTTTTAAAGTTTGTGTGTAGGAATAGTGAGAGAGATTATGTTGCTGGTTAAAGGACGATGAGAGGAGGGTAAGGGTGGTGGTGGCTAGGTAAACGGTGGCGATGAGAGGAGGAGGGTGGTGGCTGGGTAAACGGTGGTGAAAGAAAGTGTTTGACAGAGAGCTAGAGTTAGTGAATTCTCAAATTTAAGGGGATTTCAGATTTGGAGGGATTTTGGGATCTGGGTTTGGGTGTAGCAGAGAGAAGGGAGGAAAGATGGTGATGGTGATGGTGATGGCAGTGGCTCTAGTGTGGCGGAATTGTGGTGGTGGTTCTGGGCTGTGGCTTTGGTGTGGCGATATTGTGGTGGTGGTTTTGGGTTGTGGCTCTGGTGCGGTGGTGTTGTGATGATGGTTCTGGCGTTGGCGGTGCTATGGTAGAAGGAGAGAGGAGAGTTAGCGGGGCTGTTGGTTTGGGTATTAGGTATTGAGGTTTTAATTGAAAATTACAAATTATTAATTTTTATTGGATTTTTGTTGAAATGGTGATAGGGTAATTTGGGGATTTTATATAAAAGGATATTGTTGTCATCAAATTTTAACAATATGTTTAACGGATCTTAACGACAAGGGATAATTGTTCCTTTTTATTTTAATTATCTTGATTCCTGAAATTGTAGACAACTGAAAAATCAGTTAAATAACACCTCCTTTAGGGAAAAAAAAAAAAGAGTTCTCAGTTACTTTGACGTGTATTTATTTCACTTAAATGGACAATTGTTTTCAACAAAAACTTGAAGATTTGTAAGATGTACTGAAACTATAGTTATCACCCAAACATTTGGGAATGTTAGATAATATAATAAGAGTCAATGACTAAGACTATTCCTTATGAACCTGTTCTTCCTTTTGTGGTCCGAAACATTCACCATCTGGTGAGATTTGAAACATTATAAACTCTACTAAATTTGTTGGACGATGGAAGATCTTGTCATAATGTGCCGAGGAGTGTCGTAGTTGAATGGTTAGAACATGTCAATTTTGGGCAACAACTTTTAGGCTTGTCATATTAAATGATGTCAATCAGATAGTGAGTCCAACTAATGTCTGTCCTATTGACATGGCAAATTTTGTAAGAAAATAGGACTAGTAAGTGTCCTGTATGATATATAGGAGAAATTCTGCAAAATCTGTATGCGAAAAAGGGAGAGAATACAATAGTAAATTCATTGAAATTAGGGATTGAGAGCTGTTAGAAACTCATTTGAATAGTTTTGTCTTTTTATTATGAGCTTCCAAGTTCATTAGTATAGTTTTCTGGAGTATTGAACCTTTCCGAGATTGTATGCAGATTCTCCTACATGTCCTTCTGTTCGTTTAACTAGCAAATTTACTTTGAAACTAAAGCTCAGGGTAGTGAGATGATCACGTGAGAAGCTTGTTACCTCTGATGTCATCTGCACACTTGTGGTGTTGATGTTGTGATGCAGGGGCTTTTATGGTATGCAGTGATGACAACTGTTGAGACAGCAATGAATCAGCCTAAAAATGCCAGTAGTATAGAAGCTACAGCGGCTTCCACGTTTCAGAACTCTGCTGCAGGGTTCAAAAGATGGGGAAGGAAATCACCATTTGTTAGATATGGCGTTCCTATGATTTCACTCACTGTGTTTGGAGCACTTGGTCTTGGCCATCTCTTGCAAGGCAGGTTAGTGCCAGGACCACTGTCATCAGTTTCCTTGGTCAATATCGTGTTTGACAAGTTTTAGAATCTAAGTATGAATGAGGAAGGCAAATAAACCCTCTTTCTATTTTTTTGTGATCCCCCCCACCCCCAAAAAAAAAAGTGTAGACCAAACAAATTGGGTGGGTGCAAGTGTTGGATGGCTTTATGAAGCAATTCCTAAAAATATTTTAGACAATAAACTTCATTTCATACTAAAGTAAGGTTTACGCATGGATAATGGGCTAGAACGTGATCACTAACATGCATTCCTACGTCATGGATAGACTTTGTAGGTGGTGCTCCCATTTCTGTTAATCTTTTGAGTCTTAGGCATAATGTTTTAGAAGGAAAAAGGCTCAGATAGAGGCAATAGGATTTGGTATTATCATACAGTTGTTGTTTTCTAGCATGTGTTTGTGAGATTCTTAATGTCAGTAATGAAATTTCTGCTTGTTTATTGAAAGCACCTGTTCATTCCAATATGGCTATTATGTTAGAAAAGATCTTCTGGTGCATCTAATCTAAGAAGCATGGGCACTTCATTTTGGCTAGAGTTTCCGTGTCAGATACGTTTGAGACTTGGATATGCTAAAATGAGTGTCCAATTTTTTTATTGTTAAATTTTTTTTAGGATATGTTGGGGTCACGTTCAGGACACGTTGGGAACACACAACCGACACGTTTTTAGTTTTTAGTTTTTTGAAAATTTTAAGAACTTTTTAGATGTCTCTATAAGTAAGAGTTATTTTCGAAATTTTAACTAGATATGAATCAAAGTCATAATATAAAATGATTTATAATCAGTACATTAAACATAGGACATGAATGTAATATAATTTTAGATACAAATATAAACTTATATACAAATGGAATAAACCTTTAATATGAAAGTAATGACGAAGTGGAATATTTTTGACAATGAAAGTTGTATTTTTGTTGGATCATGGATGTTAATGTTGAATATGTATCGATCTTATATTGTATTTTTTATGCAGTGAGATCATGATGTGAATTTTTAGAATTAGAGAAGGGATGAATTAAAAGAGTATTATGATAATATTTTTATTTTATTACACACACACACACACACACATATATATATATCCCCAATGTGTCCATATCCTACTTTTTGGAAAAATTTGTGCCAACGTGTTTGTATCCATTTCTGTGCTTTTTACCTTCTAATGGCAGTCTGGTTAGGTTCTTCTTTGGGATTTGCTCTGACAAAGGAATCAATTGATGTGCTTCTCTTGAAGCAGCTTTTTAGTTGTTACTGGAGCTAATATTGGGTGTAGATCCTTTGATCACTGTCAAATTAGCTAATCTTTAGCTTCAGGGAACCCAGCTTTTCTAGGCTTCTTAAGTTGCTTAGGTGTTCTGCTGCTACAGCATGAAACATGTTCTGCTGTTGTGTGCTAATGAAAGCAGTTGCTGATAGCAGAAGGGCATCAGGTTTGTCAGACGAGTGGAGGTTGATATCAAAGGATTCCTGAAGTTCTGGGCTCCATCACTAGTCCCTGATTTTATTCATCAGTCCAGTTGTACTGATTGGATGGTTCCAGGGTGTGGGTGGTCCTGTGAAATGCTGTAAGAATTGCAATCTATCCTTGAGTTTAAGAAACCAAAGAATGAAATGATTCAATAGTTTCGCAGCTACATTGCTATAAGGAACTTTTTAAATCATTTGGCTTTCTTTTTTAGTTACTTGTGCTTCATTCGTGCCAAGTAGTTGGTTACGTGATCTGTTTTTACCCTCTGTCTGTACTTTATATAACTCAAATTGTAGCTTGCATTTCTGGATCTTCAATTGTATATGATGACATCACAGTACCTTTATATCTCATAATCATCATTGTTGTTTATTATTATTATCATCATCATCCTCTCCTAAAATGTGGCGAATGTTTTGTAGTGCAGCAAGGATATTGCTAAGGTGAAAGATGACCAGGAGTGGGAGATCATTGAGACAAGAAAAGCATTGTCAAGAACAGGACCTGTAGAAGCATACAAGCCGAAAAAGATTTCTCTGGAAGAAGAGCTGAAGGTAAGGTAAAGCAATTTTGCTAATACATCTTAAACATAATTTATGAAGCTTATACCCATTAAATGCTCTCTGTTGTAGGCTTTGCAAGGGAAGGTTGACATTAACAGTTATGAGTACAAGAGAATTCCCAAGCCAAATGAGGTCAAGTGAGGATAGAATAGAGTTATTGCAAAATCTCTTTGTTATTTTGTTGAAAGGTTTCAGGGTACTCCCCTATCCGCGTGCTAGTGACTCAACTGAACAAACTTACGACGAGTTATAAAAGAATGTCTGCTATTTCTTTGCTTTTTTACCCCCCCTTGGCAATGGTAGTTGAACTGTAGTTGTACCATTGTAGCTGATGAGAAGCCGTATTTATTTTTATATAATTTCATTTTGATGCCTATGAATATCCAGTATTAATTGAATTAAGGACAATATTGAATGAGGAAAGCCAATGATCGTGAGTGACAAAAAACCTTTTCATTCCATTTTTTGTTTTGTTTTCATTTTCTTTCTCTGTATAAATGATGAATCTTATCTTTCTTTGGGGAAATTGCTTTTCTTTATTGTTCTATAGCAGTTCTTATGTGTCTTGGGAAGACTCGGTTGATGGCATCAACAGGTGCTTATGATTTCTGGCGTTTACGTACATAGCAAGAACTTTGCAATTGCATGATCATGATGTTATGTAGATATGTCTCTTCATCGCTGAACCACCCTCTCACCTCAAAGTCATTAGCTTTGGTAAGAATTGATCTTGTGATCTCCCGTTTTGTAGTAACACGGTTGACCCGCCACTAGACCAAAGCTGAAGTAGTGGTCAACCATGTAAGTAGCATATTTGTATTTAGAGATAACGCACACGGATGCGAGCACAAGCGTGTTAGGAGAGAGAGAGAGAGAGAGAGAGAGTCAAGTACCGAGTCAAGTACCAAGGCAAGCAATACACAACTAGAGAGAGTCATCAACAAAACTTTGTGAAAAGAATCACATTGCAGGAAACTTACACATGGTCAATAGTTTCACCCCACCTATACCCACAATTACAAACTTTATACCCACTTATCTCAATAGATGAAAACTATTTCCCCTTATCTACATCACCCCCAACAATAACACAAGGAAAAAAAAAATAACAAAAACAGAAGGTTATAAAACCTNACAAGCCGAAAAAGATTTCTCTGGAAGAAGAGCTGAAGGTAAGGTAAAGCAATTTTGCTAATACATCTTAAACATAATTTATGAAGCTTATACCCATTAAATGCTCTCTGTTGTAGGCTTTGCAAGGGAAGGTTGACATTAACAGTTATGAGTACAAGAGAATTCCCAAGCCAAATGAGGTCAAGTGAGGATAGAATAGAGTTATTGCAAAATCTCTTTGTTATTTTGTTGAAAGGTTTCAGGGTACTCCCCTATCCGCGTGCTAGTGACTCAACTGAACAAACTTACGACGAGTTATAAAAGAATGTCTGCTATTTCTTTGCTTTTTTACCCCCCCTTGGCAATGGTAGTTGAACTGTAGTTGTACCATTGTAGCTGATGAGAAGCCGTATTTATTTTTATATAATTTCATTTTGATGCCTATGAATATCCAGTATTAATTGAATTAAGGACAATATTGAATGAGGAAAGCCAATGATCGTGAGTGACAAAAAACCTTTTCATTCCATTTTTTGTTTTGTTTTCATTTTCTTTCTCTGTATAAATGATGAATCTTATCTTTCTTTGGGGAAATTGCTTTTCTTTATTGTTCTATAGCAGTTCTTATGTGTCTTGGGAAGACTCGGTTGATGGCATCAACAGGTGCTTATGATTTCTGGCGTTTACGTACATAGCAAGAACTTTGCAATTGCATGATCATGATGTTATGTAGATATGTCTCTTCATCGCTGAACCACCCTCTCACCTCAAAGTCATTAGCTTTGGTAAGAATTGATCTTGTGATCTCCCGTTTTGTAGTAACACGGTTGACCCGCCACTAGACCAAAGCTGAAGTAGTGGTCAACCATGTAAGTAGCATATTTGTATTTAGAGATAACGCACACGGATGCGAGCACAAGCGTGTTAGGAGAGAGAGAGAGAGAGAGAGAGAGTCAAGTACCGAGTCAAGTACCAAGGCAAGCAATACACAACTAGAGAGAGTCATCAACAAAACTTTGTGAAAAGAATCACATTGCAGGAAACTTACACATGGTCAATAGTTTCACCCCACCTATACCCACAATTACAAACTTTATACCCACTTATCTCAATAGATGAAAACTATTTCCCCTTATCTACATCACCCCCAACAATAACACAAGGAAAAAAAAAATAACAAAAACAGAAGGTTATAAAACCTAACATCCCTTTTCCTCCCATTATATTTTTCCATCCTTTACCGATGTTTATTATTTTACATACCTAAAACGGGAACAATATTGACAGCCAAAAACGCTCTTTTGTCTCTCTTACCTTATCCCCACGCCAAACTATATATAGTTGTGACTCAAAGATTACAAAATAGTCCTAGATTACCTTGGCTTTGGTTGTGATGCAAATGACCACGCTGGTTGAACAAGCCTCTGAGCAGATGGACTACCCAATAAAGTAGCCTGAGAACGACTAAGCATCTCAGCCATTGATCGGGTTTGATAAGCCTGAACAAGACTTGACCCATCTGTAGAGTCACCTCGAGCTGTTGCTCTCTGCCAGGAATGTGAGCTCAGTCCTGATAGAATATAAGCTCTTCCTGATGCCTCGTATACATGCCTGCTTGCCATTCTCTCTTGCATTTCCTTAAGCTCAGCATCCAAAGCAACGCAGAGCCGATCGTGAGATTTAGCTGATACAGTTTCTGACAACACCCTTCTGCAGATTTCGAGGATAGATACTGCACCCTTCAGGTCTCCCTGCTCAGCAGCAGTTCTTGCTTGTGCCATTGCCTCGGCTGCTTGGAGCCTGTTGCGTTGCCTGTCAACTTCAATTGACTCTAACTCTTGTCTAGCTGTTTCAGTTCTCTCAATCCTAACTTCTTCACTTCCTAATGTCACCATTTCTTTTGTCAAGGGATCGTTGTAAACACATCTCACCTTTAACAATGTTGTTTCATTGCTTGAATTCTCTGCTGGAATGTTAATTGAAACAAGAAAATCCTTCTCCTCATCAGCATATAAATCTCCAACATCAATGAATCCAGTGCGCCCATCAGACATCACACAATTTGAGTAACTTCCCGCTTTTAAAGAGTGAAGATGGACACTTGAGTGCGCGCACTCTATACTCACATGCAAATCCTTGACCACGACACTCAAAAGTCCCCCAATGCACTGTGCAAATGCATCCTGGATCACACCTTCACTCTCGATAAAAGAAAATGTCCCTCCCGAAATCTCTGAAATTGAGTGCATTGAAGAAGCATCGTGATCTGTGCCAAACCCAAAAGCATGTACAGGAATCTTCGTACCTGAAGTATCTTCACCATGAATAGACAGAGGAAGGAGCAACTGGTAATTTGGTAAACGTTGATTACCATCAGAACTACCGACTGTATATGTGTCCTGCCCATCAGACAAGAGTATTATACTGGCAACTGGGTTCTTTTCCCTTCGGTCTTCCATTATCTTGGCACCCTTTCTCAAGCCTTCAGCAATATTTGTCCCGCCGTTTGCAACCAGAGAGTTAACAGCTTGCAATGCCTGCTGCTTCCCAGTGTCGGACATCCTACGAAGGGGGAAGAGGCGGCGAGCTGTTGACGAGAAGGCAATGACTGCCAGCCTGTCATTGGGACCGAGGTTCTGTATCACAAACCCCATAGCTCGCTTTAGCAAAGCCAGCTTGGTACCTGCCATGCTGCCACTGATGTCAAGAACCGTGACAAGGTCGACTGGAGCTCGAACAGTTTGAGAAATGTGGGGCAAATTAGCCTGATTGCTATTGGGAGTTTGTTCTGACAGTGAAATAGGAGCTTTGAGATGGATCAGGACAGTGAAGTTATCCAAAGCATTGAACCATGGGACCGCTTGAACTTCTGTGTATGTTTGGATCTTCATTGTTCTGTGTGAATCATTATCTGCAGCAATTTTATTAGAGAAGGTCCTCTCAGCAGACTCAGATTGATGACCTAAGGATTCATCGTCGTTGAAGACAGCTGGCTCAGGAGCCTGAAATAGTGTAGTGTGCCGATTGCCATTTGGACGAGGGGGAGGCAGTCGGCTAATTACAGCCATCAAAGCATTATTTTGGGGCAATTCGATAGGATTGACTCTAGCCCTTCCCAGGGGAGGATCTAAACTTGGAACCTGCAAAGGAATTTCTTTCCAATTTGCTCTGCAAACTGGGCAAATTTGGTTGCCATGTTTCACATTCGAAGCAATACAGTGGAAATGGAAGGAATGCGAACATTCTGCAGTGAAAATAGCATGGCCATCCCCCCTTTTCATTGAAGCCAAACATATTGAGCAAGTCTTCTGAACATCCAAATTAAGTGCGGTCAGAAAGAATAACTATGAGCTTGAAAAGAGATAGAAGATATGACATTATTCAGGTACAGAACTATTCCATTCACACAAACACAGTTAGAGCAAAGATTTTCTGCAACAGGGTGTATCAGCAAGATTAATGAGATTACAAGAAAAATCACCATGTTTCACAGCTACATTTTACATTCCACAACAAGGCGGGAAAGAGTCAGCAACATAATTGAGTTGACAGAGGCAGCAAAGAGTTAGCACCAAATGACTTCACTGAACTCATAAGTACTGTCCCTAAAAAAGTGGATATCAAGTATATAATAGACAATTCAAAACCCTGATAAACTAAATCATGCATATTTTTCTGCTGTTCCACAATGATCTTAAATTATACTTCCTTTTTTAAGATTGACAGATCACAGATGATTAGAAAAGAAGACTTTATTAGGTTCCTTTAGACATTTCAGGGAACATCAACTCCCAAAAGGAGGTCTATACTGGAGATGGATCCTTGTGATGCAACAAAGCAGAAAAGCCAAATGGTCTCTACCTCGTGTGTCAAATTATCAATAACTCCAAAAGTTTAAGCTGTTAAACAACATCCCAACAATTTCTACTAAGCTCTCAACACCATATCACAAGTGTACCCTGCTCAGACGTGGATGGACTAAGAGCCAAGTATATCGATGAGCACGACTAGAATAAAATTTGGTCCACTTGTTATGGACAAACACAAAGAGGGAGAAGCAAATACCTAAAGCATTGAAACAACACACAGTCACACATACATATCAAGCCTCCCCCCCAAAAAAAACTCTTTTTACTTATGATCCTTGATCGGTTGATCCCACATGGAGGATACAGATAAAACCAAAGCACATGATAAGCATATGATAATTGAACCCATGACTTATAGGATCAAAGCTCGGATACAATTTTAGACCGCCAATTATTCCAGAAACTTGAGTTGTTAAACGAATGGACCCAGCAATGTGTTATATCAAGCTTCCAACTTTATAAGAATTAATATTTCTGAGCAGAAGAGTCGTTTTCAAGTACTGTTCAATCTATTACAGCTAACATCTATTTTAACATTTAAATCAATTTGTAATTTTTCTAATTACTAGAAGTGTTGGTTTTCTATGGCTTTCATTTCTTATTTTTTTCCTTTAATTCCTTTAATCTATGGGCTAAGTTGCGTACATTCGACCCTCCCTAAATCCACAGTAATAGGAATCTCGGCACTGGACTGTCCGTTGCCCTTTTTTAACTAATATCATTGGTTCTTGGCACACGAAAGGCAAACTGGTTCTACAGAACCTAAGCTGATCTTAATATCAGAAAACTGCAATAGCAGTCTTTTTTGAACTCAAGGGGCCACCACAGCAGGAGACAGTCAGACAACCAACCACATACTTTTCTTACCTATTAAACAACAACACACCACGAAAAACAGAGGGGGGGAGGGGGAGGGGAAGGATAAGAGAGAAAAACAGTGGTCAAATAAGGTGACTACTGGTCTTATTCTATAGCGGTATGCAGTATGGTTTCTACACTGCATCATATTGTAAGAATCAAATGGGATCAGCCAATTTGATGATCTTCTACAAGAACTAAGAGCCAACATCGTCCCGCACCAATGAGGATGATGACCAGCTACAAAGCTTGAATATGAAAATTTGATACGGGTTCAGTGATACAATAAAACTTAAAAAAATAGGATACGGGTAATGCTTGGATACGTTTATAATAAAATATATTTTATATTTTACTATTATTTAACGACTTAAAAATTACAATTTTCAATAGTAGAAAGCAGAATTAGGAATCTTTACCTTGAAAAAGAATGTAATATTATCTCATTATGATATATCCATAAAATAAGTGTAACTAATTAACAGAATCAGAACTACATTTAATTAGTAAGCTTGCTTACAAAGGTCAAGCGTTATCAATTGATCTTTCATATATGACGGCTGTACAGGAAACAAAACAAAATAAAAATCATTGGAGTGTTTAAAAAGAATAGTATGCAGTAGGGAGAAAAATGTTTAAAAACAGCTAGGCTAAAAAATAAAACCCAAACCCATCTGTGAAAGAAAGGGAAATGCAAGTTGATAACATATTTTCTCTATAGTCTCTCTCCCTTTTGTTCTTGAGTGAGGCTTAGCTTGTTGTTGTATATGATCAGTCAACAAATGAGGCCGCCAAACAAGCTACTTTTCTCCTCAAGAGGAAGGGACAAAGGAAGGTAGATCTGTAGCCTCCTCTAACAATTAATGCAAAATGATTAAGTTTCTGAAAATGACTTTTTCATGAAACCAAAACCACAAGCTAAAGAGTATAGGAATCATTTCACCTAACTTATTTATTTGAGATAAACACAACTACAGGATATTGAACAAATTTACTCGAGCAATTTCAAGCCAGCAAACAATACAAATAAATTTTTTTATGTAGTTTTAGCAGAAGAAGAAGTCATACAACAAGTATAGATTAGAATAAACACATGAAAGACAATAGAAATTTAAGACCAAATTTGCCAAGAAAATGTCTGAAGCAGAAACAAACAAGAAGATCAAGTCTTAGATTTACTATTAGCTATTGCATCAAAGAAACCAAAACTTATTGAAAAAACCAAACTTAATACAACCAATTAGCTTCATTGTTTAGTTCTTGTTTTCTTACATGTATCCCAGAAAATATTAAATGTTAACCTTCAGTATTGTATTTGATATTGATCACCTCAGTTTTATCAGAAACCAAATACAGAAAAAATAAGATATAATCAAACCCACCAAGAATAAAACAAATTGGCAGCGAAAATCACAAGCTTTGTACATTAATTAACACAGAACTATCCAACATTCAATTAGTTTCCTTCATTTTATTCCATTTCTCAGCTACAAAACAAAACCAGAAGCTCAAGGAGACACAATACAGACCTTCGAAGATCTGCTAAAACTCTTGGACAACCTCAAACCGTGCGAAGAAGGCGTCGGCGTCATCGGCATCGTCGGATAAAGCAAAGCAGCATCAGACAGTCTCTCCGATGGAACCGACGAGTCATCANACAATTTTCAATAGTAGAAAGCAGAATTAGGAATCTTTACCTTGAAAAAGAATGTAATATTATCTCATTATGATATATCCATAAAATAAGTGTAACTAATTAACAGAATCAGAACTACATTTAATTAGTAAGCTTGCTTACAAAGGTCAAGCGTTATCAATTGATCTTTCATATATGACGGCTGTACAGGAAACAAAACAAAATAAAAATCATTGGAGTGTTTAAAAAGAATAGTATGCAGTAGGGAGAAAAATGTTTAAAAACAGCTAGGCTAAAAAATAAAACCCAAACCCATCTGTGAAAGAAAGGGAAATGCAAGTTGATAACATATTTTCTCTATAGTCTCTCTCCCTTTTGTTCTTGAGTGAGGCTTAGCTTGTTGTTGTATATGATCAGTCAACAAATGAGGCCGCCAAACAAGCTACTTTTCTCCTCAAGAGGAAGGGACAAAGGAAGGTAGATCTGTAGCCTCCTCTAACAATTAATGCAAAATGATTAAGTTTCTGAAAATGACTTTTTCATGAAACCAAAACCACAAGCTAAAGAGTATAGGAATCATTTCACCTAACTTATTTATTTGAGATAAACACAACTACAGGATATTGAACAAATTTACTCGAGCAATTTCAAGCCAGCAAACAATACAAATAAATTTTTTTATGTAGTTTTAGCAGAAGAAGAAGTCATACAACAAGTATAGATTAGAATAAACACATGAAAGACAATAGAAATTTAAGACCAAATTTGCCAAGAAAATGTCTGAAGCAGAAACAAACAAGAAGATCAAGTCTTAGATTTACTATTAGCTATTGCATCAAAGAAACCAAAACTTATTGAAAAAACCAAACTTAATACAACCAATTAGCTTCATTGTTTAGTTCTTGTTTTCTTACATGTATCCCAGAAAATATTAAATGTTAACCTTCAGTATTGTATTTGATATTGATCACCTCAGTTTTATCAGAAACCAAATACAGAAAAAATAAGATATAATCAAACCCACCAAGAATAAAACAAATTGGCAGCGAAAATCACAAGCTTTGTACATTAATTAACACAGAACTATCCAACATTCAATTAGTTTCCTTCATTTTATTCCATTTCTCAGCTACAAAACAAAACCAGAAGCTCAAGGAGACACAATACAGACCTTCGAAGATCTGCTAAAACTCTTGGACAACCTCAAACCGTGCGAAGAAGGCGTCGGCGTCATCGGCATCGTCGGATAAAGCAAAGCAGCATCAGACAGTCTCTCCGATGGAACCGACGAGTCATCAATAGCTCTAGGAACGTACAGACACAGATTCAAACCAAGAGCCGTTTTCGCTTTCCTCCATTTGCTTCCCATTTCACACCCACCACCCACAAGCTGAAACTCTAACAAGAAGCAGAGTAGATCTTACAATGGAGAGTTGGGTTTCAGAGAGAGAAAGTAAAGATGTTATTTCAGAGACAAAAAAAGTGGTGGTGGTGAAACACGAAACCCGAGAGAAGCTTTAGAGTTTTAGAGAGAGAATGCTGCAGTAGAGAAATGGGTTTGGTGTGTAAGGTGATGACGGTAAGTAAGAGTATTGGAACTGAGTCGTAGAGGAGAAAGAAAGGAATGGTGGGTCGTTGCTTTACTCTTCTTCTTGGCGGCCATGAGTGTGTGTGTGTGAGGGAGAGAGAGGTGCTGTGGTTCAGTGGCTGTGGGTTTTTGACCTTTCTTTGTTGAGGGTAGTGAAGGTAAATATACACAATTTTTCTGTTAAAAGGCTCGTTTGGGTTAAATGATGACAGAGGAGAATAATTGTTTTCCTAAAAAGAAAGATGAGAATACATGGAAAGGAAAGTCAAAATATAAAAGTTCAGCAGTTGGTCCACTCATAATAATTTTTACATATTACCATCGCAAGTTATAATCTCCTCATTTTTTTTTTTATTGGATAAAGATGGGTCAGAGAATCCGGATATAACAACCCACGACATTACCTTCAATTTTCAGCCGTTATAAAATCTTTTGTTCAACTCATATACCTATTGATATGAAATAGTCGAACCCGTCGTTATAGTATCACAAAGACAAGATAGACATTCAATTTTATCCAATTCATAGAAACTATTAGTACAAACGAATTTGAATCCATGTCTATTAGAGAAGAGCGATATTTTCATGTTGGCTATAACATCGGTGACATCTCCCTGTTCCTTTTCTTTCTAATAATGTTTGATCAAAAGTCGCGAGTTTTAATATTATCATTCCCCTTTCTTCTAATAATGTCTCACTAGAAAAAAAGTTACAAAAATATAATAGTGGTATTTCGTATTTATCTAATTAGAGCATGTTAAAGAGAGGGGCTAAAGGATACAAAAATTTCAAAATATTACTATTTTATTCTAAAATTTCACTCCAACAAAATATCTTCGGAGCATCTAAAATAATATTATATTACAGTAACAATATATTTAGAGTATCATTATAATAATATGTATAAACATTTTATAATATTTTATCTCCCTTCATTTCCTTTTCACTATTCTCCCTCTCTCTCTTTCTCTCTCTCATTACTCCCAAAGAAAAATAATAAAAAAAGAATGAGAAATCATATTTAAAGGAAAATAGTTAAAAATATAGAAAATCTGTTGTAGTGAATATTAAAAAAAATAAGTAGCTAAAACATAAAATATTATTTTTTTAGTAGCTAAACTAAATTTTGTTGTTGGACATCTCCAACAAGGTTTTGTATTTTAGTCATCTAAAAGTACATTTTTTTGTTTTTAGCTATTCATTTTTTCAATAAACACTCTAATAGATTTTCTATATTTTAATTACTTTTTTTAAATATTATTTCATGTATTTTATACCTTTATTGGAACTGTTAGAGGGAGAGAGACAAAGATAATGAAAAGACAGAGAGTTGAAAAAAGCAGTGAGAAAGAAGAAGAGAAAAAAAAATTTATAAAGTGGTTATACAAGTTACTATAGTATAAAATTATAAAGTATCATTGTAGCAAATAATTATTTTAAAACATTTGAACATATTTTGTTGGAGTATGATTTTTATCTTTGATTAGCCAAATTTTAGATATTTTGGAGTTTTACATGTTCTATTAAAAATACCCTCATGGGTGCTATTTTTTTTTCCAAATTAAGAGTGACATGACTTATATTAACATAAAACTTCATATTTTGATGTTTTCTAATGCAATTTTAATTTTTTTTAATACTAAATTAATTGTTATCAATCCAAATGTAATACATTGTATTTAAGTAGATCCATTATCAATGCCTAATAGAGAACTCAACAATTAGAAAAATTAGTAAGACTCCCAAAACCTCGATTACTCCTCTAATTTACCATAGCTTCCATAATTATAAATGAGCCTAAAATAGCTTAATAATTTCTTGGATAATTGCAATAACCCCATAATTAGCATGACTCTATTTTTGTTTTTAATGAATTTGTCACTACCCCTATTGTTATAATGATCCTTTTAGCCATGCCTCATTGCTAGATATTATAGAACTAGCAATTGCCCGTGCCTGAAGGCACGATGTTACTCGTAAATTAGTTACAAATATTTGTCCATAAATAAATGTAAAGTAAAATACAACATTGTAGTAAACGACGAACAAAATGAGTCTGCTAATATTTTTTATAACATCAACCTACATGCATAACATATATTTTCACATTAAATTATTACGCCACGAAAATTATGTTATAACTATTGAAACATAATAATTCAAACATCTGAAAAAATATATTAGTTAACGATATTCAATATTTTATTTTTGATTCAAAATCCACGATTTTAATATTCATAATCAACTTTATATAAATAATAATAGAATTCATAACTAATAGAATGAAAATTATAACAATACTTCCACAAATAAACTAAGTCTACAGATGTTGTCAAATGATCAAATATAACTATCAAAAATTCAACCGACTTCCAAATATACGACCTGATTATTGAATTTGTATGATTCGAGTTTATAGTAGTGCTTTTAATTTTATATCATTTTTCTCAGTTATTTATATTTTTAGTATATTTTCTCAAACTAAATCTTATTTAGTATTGGATTATTTAGTAAAGATTGCTACTTCGTGTTGTTCACTAAATATTGAATTTGTATGATTCGTGTTTATAGTATTGCTTATAATTTTGTATTGTTTCTCTTGTTTGTAATTTTGTATCATTTTTCTCGAGTATTTAGATTTGGATTATTTAGTAAATATTGTTACTTTGTATTATTCACTAAATATTAAATTTGTATGATTCGTATTTGTATATGAATTTAATCTTGTATATTTTAAATGTTAAGCATATTTTTTTTAACATATCTCTTGATATCTGAGTTGTCCAATAACTTGAATTTAATCTTATATATTTTACATGTTAAGCATATTTTATTTGTTAAATTAAATTTTTTGCAAGTTATGTTTTTTTTTATTGATTATGGAAAAAATAAAATTGACTATTGCTATTGAATTTGTATAATTCAAGTTTTATAGTAATGCTTTTAATTTTATATCATTTTTTTGAATTATTTATATTATTTGTATATTTTCTTAAACTAAACGTTATTTAGTATTAGATTATTTAGTAAAGATTGTTGTTTCGTGTTGTTCACTAAATAGTGGATTTGTACGATTCATGTTCATAGTATTGCTAATAATTTTGTATTGTTTATTTCGCTTGTAATTTTGTATCATTTTTTTCGAGTATTTAAATTTGAATTATTTAGTAAATATTGTTGTTTTGTGTTGTTCACTAAATATTGAATTTGTATGATTCGTGTTTGTATATGAATTTAATCTTGTATATTTTAAATGTTAAACATATTTTTTTAATATATTTCTTGATATCTGAGTTACCCAATACATTAAATTTAATCTTGTATATTTTACATGTTAAGTATATTTTCTTTGTTAAATTAGAGTTTTCGTAAGTTATGTTTGTTTTTTTATTGATTATGGAAAAAAACAAAATTGACTATTGAATTTGTATGATTCGTGTTTGTAGTATTGCTTGAATGAAAGAGAGAGATACAGAAGAATATTTTCGTGATATATATTATTTATTAAATATTTATTATATAATTTTTCTTCAAAGAGAGATACAGAGGAATATTTTTATAATATATTATCTCTCTATGATATATAGTATCTATATATAGAGATACAATATTTTCTTAAATCAGACACAATCTAATATTTTCATGAGATACAGAGGAAAATATTATGAAAAATTGATACTTTTTGTATGAATTGAGCGTAAGAGAGAGATATAGATGAATGAGAGAGAGAGAGAGAGAGAGATTTGCTTGATTTAAAAAAAAGATTAGAGGGAATTAAATTTTGGAATATCAATTTTGGAAACTATAATTTTGAGCAGAAAAAATATTTCAAAAGAGTTAATGTGATACGTCGGATTAAAACGATCTGAGACGTCAATAACTTGAGACAGTTTGAGATAACGTAGTTCATTAGATGAATTTTTTTTTTTGTCACGAAACGATCTAAACCACTTTTTGTCTCTAAAATTCAAATTCGTTCTACTTTATTATATATATATTTGAGTGATAGTGATACCTACTTAATTATTCTAAAATTTATGTTTACTACAAGTGGAGTTGGAAAAAAGTACATATAGTAGTATTGTGTTATCGTAAATTTAAAATTATTGATTCAAATTAGACTTTTTAATTTTAACACGATTTATGAATTTAGCAAGTTTTAGATTAAGACTCAGTAGGTTTGGGTGGTAAACGGTAAATCCATTAAACTCATTTAATAAATAAATCGAAAGGAATTCAACTGAACACGATACAATATTGTTAAACACTGGTTATTCATAATTTATATACAATAAGAACTTTACTATAAATGAATAAGTTTTGATAGAACACAATTTACATATATACGACACAAATCCTATATAACACGTATCCATTGACAATCATATTTCAAACTCATAATGTATAACTTACATAGATAAACATTTGTCATCGTTCTGAGTACGACTACTTCACCATCCAACTATTCTCTATCTATTAAATTCTTTGGGTAATACAATAATAAACTTGTCATAGTAAATTATGCCATTACCCATTTGTGGAAAGTGAAAAAACGTCATTATGCATACTGAAAAGAAAAAAAAACAAAATAAAATTATTACATCCATGACTCACTAGAAGGTATGAACTGGCCTTTCATTATGATGTGCCATTGTTGGGTGGCCATGCACGAGTCAAAGGTTGGGATTTTCCTAATGATCAATTTTACCACATCAGTTAATAAGTACTCCACACGTGCACATTATTACATTTGAACACTTTCTTTTTTTTCGTTTTTGTTT